ATTTCCTTTCTTTTACTCACTTAGGGTCTTGTTTTTGTCTTTTCTCTAGTCCCTTTGGTGTAAGGTTAGATTGTTTATTTGAGATTTTTTTTTATTTCTTGAGGTAGGCCTATAATGCTATGAATTTCCCTCTTAGGACTGCTTTAGTTGTGTCTCATAGATTTTGTACTGTTGTATTTTCATTTTCACTTTTCTCAAGGCATTTTTTGATTTCTTCCTATACCTCATTGTCAACCCATTCATTGTTTAGTAACATGTTGCTTAGTCTCCATGTGTTTGTGTGTTGTTTAATTTTTTCTTATAATTGATTTCTAGTTTTGTTCCATTGTAGTCCAAGAAGATGCTTGATATGATTTCATTCTTCTTAAATGCATTGAAACTTGTTTTGTATTTTAACATGTGGTTTCTCCTGGAAAATGTTTCATGTGCACTTGAAAAGAATGTATATTCTGCTACTTTGGGTGAAATACTCCAAAAACATATTTATCAAATATTATCTGGTCTAGTGCTTGATTTGAGGTTGCTATTTCCTTGTTGACTTTCTGTCTGAAAGACTTAGTCACTGATGTCAGTAGGGTGTTAAAATTCCCTACTATCATTGTATTTCTGTCATTCTCTTCCTTTATGTCCATCAATGTTTGCTTTATGCCTTTAGATGCTCCTATGTTGGGTGTGTAAATGTTTACAAGAGTTATGTCCTCTTGCTAGATAGATCCTTTTGGCCTTATGTAGTGTCCTTCTCTGTCTCTTATTATAGCCTTTGTTTTAAATTTTGTCTGATATAAGTATTGCTACCCCAAATTTTTTGGCTTTCATTTTTATGAAATATCTTTTTTTCCATCACTTTACTTTCAGTGTGTGTGTGTCTTTTGATCTAAAACAGATCTCTTGAAGATAGCATATATATGGGTCTTGTTTTCTTATCCATTCAGCTACCATATGTCTCTTAATTGAAAAATGTAATCCATTTACATTTAAAGTGATTTTTTAAAGATTTTATTTATTTAGATAGAGGGTACAGGAGGGAGAAAGAGAGGGAGAGAAACATCATTGTAGGGTTGCCTCTCACACACCCCACAATGGATACCTGGTCCACAACCCAGGCACATGCCCTGACTAGGGATCAAAGCAGTAACCCCTTGGTTCACTGGCCCCCACTCAATCCACTGAGCCACACCAGACAGGGCTAAAGTGATTCTTGATAAGTACATATTTATTGCCATTTTATGCTTTATAATTATATTCCTTTTTTTTCTTTTCTTTTTCTTAAATAAATTTCTAACATTTCTTCTAATACTGGTTTGGTGGTAATGAACTCCTCTAGCTTTTTATTGTATAGAAAACTGTTTATTTCTCCTTTATTTTAAATGATAGCCTTGCTTGGTGAAGTAGTATTAGTTGTAGTTCCTTGCTTTTCATCACTTTGAATATTTTGTGTCAATACCTTCTAGCCTGAAATGTTTCTCAGCTGACAGTCTTATAGGAGCTGTCTCATATGTGATTGTCTTTCTTTCTGCTTTTAGATTCTCTCTTTTTCTTTAACCTTTGCCATTTTAATTATGATGTGTCTTTGTGTGGGCCTCTTTGGGTTCATCTTGTTTGGAACTCTGCACTTCCTGAAATTCTTTTCTTTTTACTTCACCAGGTTAGGGAAGTTTTCAGTCATTATTTTTTCAAATGGTTTCTCAATTTCTTGCTGTCTTTTGCTTTGGTATCTCTAGGACACAGATGTTTTTACACTTGATGTTGTCCCAAAGGTCCCTTAAACTATCCTCATTTTTTTAAATTTTTTTTTTATTTTTGCTGCTCTGATTGGGTGTTTTACCTTGTCTTCCAAATTGCTGATTCAATCCTCTGATTCCTTTTAGTGTATTCTTTATTTCTGATATTGTATTCTTCATTTCCGACTGGTTCTTTATCATGGTTTCTATGTCCTGTTTTATGCTTACTATCTTTTTGCTGAAATTCTCACTGAGTTCACCAATCCTTCCCATAAGTTCTTTGAGTAACCTTATAACCATTGTTTTGAACTTTGTATCTGGTAGGTTGCTTGTCTCCATTTCATTTAGCTATTTTTTTCTGGGGATTTTTCCTGTTTGTTCATTTAGGGCATGTTTCTTTGTCTCCCTATTTTGGCTGCCTCTGTATTTGATTCTGTGTGTTAGGCAGATCTGTTGTGTCTCCTAGTCTTAGTGTGAAATCTTTATATAGTAGATGTCTTATAGGACTCAGTCACACAATCTCCCTAATCTGCTTATCAGGGTGCTCTAGTGCTCCAGGAATGCCCCTTGTATGGGTTTATGTGAGCCCTTCTGTTGTAGCTGAGTTTTTATTGCTTTTGGCCTATCCTTGGGTGTGGAGTTGCCCCTTCAGCTGGCTTTAGGGATCAACACTACCACAATGTATGAGCTGATTCACTCCAACAGGATCTGATGACTGCCAATATCTCCCTTTGGGTGTGACACTTATGGAGCTAATTGGGTTTACTCTGATATGATCTGAATCTTGCCACTGGGTGTGTTGGGTTTTGGTCAACTTAGGAGGCACTCTCATGTAGGTCGATGTCAAGCACTGTCTCTGACCAGCCCTGGGCTACCTGTTTGGAACTACAAAATGATCCACAGTTTGTGGCTGCCTCTGTAAGGACTGGGTGGGCATGGGAAGGACCAAGCTTCATAACAAGGATGGCTTTTACCAGCACCAAGCTGGGGAGCAGGTCATCAAAAGGCCCAAGTCACTCAGAGATCTGCCTTCACCTGCTGACTGCCTTTTAGGCTCAGTCACTGAAAGAGGCTCTGAAAGTATGTGAGTTGCTTGATGTAGGTTCTCAGTGAGTCACCACATAGGACACCTGGTTTTCACCAAGTTGATACACATCCAAACTTGATACCAGTGATGTGTGTGAAGGCACTCAGTAAAGCCTTAGAATATACCAAGGCCAGCCACCACCCGATGGGGGTCCTGTGTTCCTTTGTGGTGGAGTGAGGTCTGATGAAGTCTTCAAGGTGATGCCAGCAAAGTTCATCAGGCTAAAACACACGAAGATTTGGCTCTGCATAGGCAGGGCTCTACTCAGGAACAGAGGCACCAGTATGAGAGAAAAACATCTCCCTTGCCCTAGGGCCATACCACTCAGTTACTGCCACCCCACGGGTTTGTCTGGACCTCTGTGAGAGACTTCCAAGAAAGTATACACCATTGGCCTAGAAGCCACCACAGAGATAGAACATGGCAGGGCATGGCCACAGGGAGTCAAGATTATGGGGCTAACAGATCTCCCATGGGAAGATGATGCTGGTTGAGCATGAGAGGAAAAAATGGTCCTACCCCTAGAGCCACACAAGTCAGCCTGCCCCTGCTCACCTCTGACACACCAAGTCTGCCCAGACCTCCTTAAGAGCCCTCCAAGAAAGTCTGTATCACAGGCCCTGGTTGGCTTCAGCCAACAGACTCCTCCACAGGGTGAGATCTTGGTAGGGGGTGGGGGGCACAGGGAGTCCAAAAGGTAGGGCTAGTACAGTCCCCCAGGCTGATGCCATATGAGGGAAAGTGCTCTATCCAGGAAAGATGGCATCTGTGTGCAGCAGAAGTAAGGGACTCAGCACAGGGGCCTTGGTGGGGCTTTCCCTTTAGCCTTCTCTTCAAAGCCACACAACCTTCTGAGCTGCCATCCCTGGTGCTGAGAACAGGGATCTGTCCAGAGCCCAGGGTGAATGGTAGTAAATAAGATGTTGTGCATTGGCCCTTTAAGAGGGTGCATCAGTTTCTAGCAGACTCCTGTCTCTCCCTGGCAGATGAAATCCCTGCTGATTTTCACAAGCAGATGTTATGTGGGCTCATCTTCTGGGTTTTATCCTCTGGGGTGGGGAGCCTGGTGCAGGGTTGAGACACCTCACTCCTCAGGGGGGACCTTTGCAGCTAAGATATCCTTAAGGATTCTCAGCCACTGCATGTGGGTACAGAACCAGCTCTTTTCACATTGCCACCCTTCCTACCAGTCTCAATGTGACCTCTTCTGCAAGTTCTTTGTTATAGGACTTCTGTTCATCTAGTCTTTAGTTGGTTATTCAAGTTGATTGTTCTATAATTTAGTTGTAATTCCAGTTTGGTCCTGGGAGGAGGTGAATGCAACTTCCAACTACTTTACTATCATCTTGGATTGTGAGGATGGCTACTTTTTATTGTCTCTTCACCAGGCTCGACACCAGTTCCCTTGTCCTCATTATTATAGTTCAGTGCCATTAGCTGCTCTTGCATCCAATCCCTCAGCATCCAGCGCCCCTTCCCCAACTAGTTGGGTAGGATTGTGACCTGAGCACTTGTATATCATAGCACTAAAAAACTTGAGTTTCTCCTCCCCCTGAAGTTCCATAAGCATACTCATATTTCTCCTTAAAGCAGCTGATGTTGGTGAATGGGGGAAAGAAGGAGTCAAGAGGTACAGAGAGACAGAGCAATTCCATGGCAGTAAGCAAGACTTTGTATCAACTTCCAGTTCCAAGCAGCTGCCAGCAATTCAGGCTCATTCAAACAAGCATCAGTTTTAGCCCAGCTAAAGCTCTCTCTCCTCATTGCTCATGTCTTTTATTTAAGCTTTGGGGGTCCCATGACTCAGCAGCTACAGTCACTTTTGATTGTCCCACTTTATTGTCCCACTGTCACATAGCATCCCTTTCTCCTCCTGCTCTCAAAGACAGTAAGCACAACAAAACATCATGTAGGTGGACTGTTTGCATTCTTCCTTTTGCTAGTGAGGGACCCTTACTCTTCCCCCTGCTCATCACTTGGGTGAGTGCATTCACTACTGGATCCTCAAGAGTCTCCTCATGTCCACTAACACAGCCTGTGGGGCCTTCCAAAAAGGCATGTCTCTACCAGCATTCCACCTTCTCACCAAAACTCATAGGATCTGAGATTTTACCCTACACAAGCTCACAATATAGCCTGTTACCATTTCGTGGATGTTGGTAGAAAAGATAAGATTCTTGGGTCAGAGACAAAGTACTTTATTACTCATACACAACCAGGAGCATGAACAAAATGCTGTACCAATTCCCAGCGGGTACAACAGGGAGAAGCCCAGGTGTATGCTATGCAGACAGTGAGTTTGCTTTGTAGCTGAGGGAATATGAGCTCAGGGAATCCACTGCTTTTATTGTATCTTGAAGACAGGTCACTAAGAAATACCCTGAATAAAGACAAAGAGATTAAAACATGGAAAAGAGTGAAGAGAGCATAAGAGACATAAAAACTATAGAAAGACTTTTTAAAAATAAATTAATATGTGAAAGCAGTCTCTTCATAACCTGGAACTGCAAATGAGTCCAGTTAGTGATGGAGGAGCTAGCTTTTTTTTTTAACTTCCATTTGTCAATGTTACTAAATCATCCTCTGGGGAAAAAAATTAAATAAGTCAGTACCAACGGCCTCTGAACAATATTAGTGCTCCTGATTTCTAACACCTGCATCCCCCAGGATGTGGAGCACTTCACCCGCGTGCCCCTACAGTACAGGGCCGTAGCAGGGACCTCTTTACCACTACCCTGGAGAAGCCCTAAAAATAAACAAAAAATGAATTTTTGATACATGGTGATAGAACAACATTCCCTCCTAGAACACCTAATTTCCTCTTCTTTTGTGCAAAGAATAAGTAATTTATAACCTTAGGGTATGCAGTGATTTCACTTCAATAAAACTGTATTTGCTTGCATAGAGGGTAAAAGCACAATATGGAGTTATATCCGCCTTTGTTCAAACCCCAACATCACCATCTATGCGATAGATGACCTGAACCAAATTATGTGATCATTCTAAATCTCATTTGTGAAATGGCAACAATGTCACCAGCCTGAGAGGGTTGCTGTAAAGATTTAATGGGTCATTTAGTCACATTTGTCTTTTATTATTAGTTATAGTGAAGGGAATGGCAGTTAATTGTTCATCAGGTGGCCAAATGATCCTTCTTCTCTGGAAAGGCAGCTCACAAATTTAGGCACTTAGGCAGCAAGAAAGAGCATACAAAAATTAAGACTAGCCCTTGCTGGGTTGCTCAGTTGGTTAGAGTGTCATCCTGATACACCAAGGCCATGGGTTTGATCCCCAGTCAGACACATATAAGAAGCAACCAATGAATGCATGAATAAGTAGAAAAACAAGTCTCTCTCTCTCCTCTCTCCCACCACCTGCCCCATCCTTACTCTTCCTTTCTCTCTGTAAACCAATAAATTTTAAAAAAAAATTAGACTATAACAGACAGTAGGGGTGGTGGCAGCTGCATATCTTTGCAGGGCCAAGATGAGGCTAAGAAATGCCTTTCCTTATTATGAATATAGCAATTTTTAGAGGAATAAAACGTTTATTTCCAACTTCCTCTCATATGAGGAAGACATAATTTAGTAATGAACTTCGGTATTCCAAAGTCCCTTTAAACAAGAATTTCAGGAAATACTACCTTATACTTTATTTATTGCCAAAAAGATATCTCTCTTCTGTGTTATGAAAATACTGAACAGCACACAGGCCAATAGACAGGGGGAAGAAACTGACAATAAGTTAGTCAACAAACATGTATATAGAGCCTACTGTGTTCCAGGCTTTGTGCTAGGGATGGTGGACAAACTGACGTGGTCGTACCTTTGTGAAGCATATATTTCCAAGTAGCAGCTCCCTGGTGTCAGTCTGTGGACATGCTAGAGACGAATTACCTATAGCATTTAGATTCCTCATACTTTATGCACAATCCCACCCTGACCTAGTGAATCTAACATTCTAGGAGATGAGGGGCACAAGAAGCTGTATTTTTAATAAACACCTCCTGGTGATTCTAAAAAACACCCAGTTTGGGACCCAACACTGCTGTTTCTCAAAGGGTGGTCAGACTTTCAAACCTGGTCTTTCTAAGAGTGCAACATGGGAATGTGTGTTTTCAGTGCACCAAGAGTTTTAGGGACCTTTATGCTAGGCTGCCTTTCTCTTACTACATCACTTCCTTTCTATTAAATAACATGTCTGAACATGCATTATCAATTGCAGAGCTGTGAAGGAGAGACTGTTCCATGAAATGACTGCTGCTGGGACCCCTGAGCTGGACCTGGGCTAGAACACAAACTACTTACCAAAATCCTGCCTTAGACACTGCGTAATTCTGAGATTAATCAGGGCCCTTTCCCTGACTCCAGCTATATCCTAGTTTCTAGAACAGGCTGTTCTTCTGACCTGGTCAGGGATGTGAAGCAATTTTCCATACCTGGTAGCATTTGCAATTAGTGTCTATTTGTATCTCTGCCCCCACTTTACCTTACATAATTTTCTGACGCCTTTCAAGCAGTGTAGAGAACTGCCACTTTATCTTGCACGTGCCCAAGGGGCATCTCCTATGTAAGTTTTCCTTAAGAGACTCAGTTAGTTGCCAGACTGGAATGGCCAGCCTCTTTCTTCAGTTTCTCCCTGCCCTTCCCTGTCCTCCGCTTACAGTGGTAGATTTTCAGCCTCAGGGCTTTTCCTTGAGTCTGCATGAACCAACAAAAGCATAATATAAAGTTTGTTGGGTCCAGGTTTTTAGACCTTTCTATAAACTGAGTAAGTCCAATTTGTACAAATAACTTAAGTCAGTTGGAGTGTAATGAGACACATCCCTACGATGTTAACAGTTCTCTGACCTTATAGTAACAGAAACTTCTGTTGCTAAGGCTATTAGAAAGAACAATGATGCTACCTCTACTAAGGACCCTTCTGCCCCTGGGTGTAGATCTTTAATACATAAGCAGTTAGCTCACCTGGATGGCTTCCTCTCAGAAGGCCTATGAAGTATATGCACTCCTTTGGGCCACTTGCAGAATCTTCTGTATTATGACAGAAATATTTACCAGGCAAACCTATGAGCATAGTAATATGATTCTGAACCATTAGAAGTTTAGCTTTCTCAACATACCATATGATTGCAATTCAAGAGGTGGTATTTAGGATGAGGAAAAACTGCATGCATAGGAGGGGACAGACAGATGGTTAGAGAAGACACTGAATTCCCATTTTAGATGGGAAGAATGCCAGGTGCCTTTGGAATATCCAGGTGGCAATGCCCCACAAATGTCTGGGAATAAGGAGTGTGGGGATCTGAAGAGGGTTAATATCAATGAAGGCAGATGTGGTGGACTTCAGCTATTGGTGGCAGGAAGCCTGCATTAGAGATAAATGAAGAAAACTCATCAGTGTATGAAGTCACAGATAGAGTGAGAGTACAGAGTATAGTGAAGGAGCCTAAGAAAGAGGTAAGTCAGGAAAGCACAGAGCTCTAAAGCCAAAAGGAGGTTAAAATTTCACAGAAAGGCTAGTTACTGGTGTCAAATACCATAGAGCAGTCAGCAAGGACAAGCACAGAAGAGAGGCCAGTGGGTTTGCAATATGCATGTCACTAATGACATTCCCAAGAGCAGCAGAGTGGGAACTATTTCCTTCATGTTTTTGTCCAAAGTGTCTACTACTAAATTTCAATTCCCTTTACAGTTCTGCTTTAATTATTTTCTGTCAAGGATTACCAATTGTCATATTATATGCCTGTTATCATTAAACATTCAGAAATTTTGATTTTTGAAAGGCTGTCTTAAAATGAAAATTTAGCTGGAAGTGCTCTCTTCCTACCTCCCCACCTTCTGCCCACTCCTGCTATACTCATATTCTCCATAACTGCCAAGGCGTGGGAGTGGGGGAAGTCTCTAGTATTATTTTTCAGGGTTGGTCATGAATCTCCGGCATATGGTGGACACTCAAGGAAAGTTTGTTTAATAAATATGAATGAAAGGAATTTAGAAAGTGGGTGGGAAGAAAGTCTTCTCTGATATTTGAAATATAGTTAATATCCCCTTTAAAATTAAATCTAACTAGGGAATGACTCTACTTTATAGCATAGCATGATGAAAAAAGTGTGGGCTTCAGAGTCAGATAGGCCTGAGGATTGAATCCTCGTTATGGGACATTTCATATTTGCACAATAGGGGAATATTCCTCACTTCATAGGGCAGTTGAAGAGGTGAATTAAATAACATGTAAAGATCCAATCATAGGGCCCTGCACAAAGTAAGAGCATGGTAACTGGAAACAGGTATTAGTATTAGCTATTATTCATCTTATAAACTATTTATTCAGATACTCAAGATAGAAAACTACATTGTCTAACCACTACGCTGTACACCTGAAACTAATATTTTTTAAAAGATAGAAAACTACAATAACTTCCCATATAAGTTGTGCAGGAAAACCTCACAACCTTTCATCTAGAAAGATCTAATCACTTCATTGGACTCACATTTGCCTGAGAGGGCATGGCACCAACCAACATACCAAAAGCAGGTCCTGTGAAGGCCCACGGTGTCAACTCTCACCCATTTCACTAACATCAGACCGATGAACAGCCTGCATTGTAGAGTGTTTTCGCAAGTTTAAAAAATCACACAGAGAAACTTTGCCTTTGTACCCATGGAAATGTCGCAGTCCTATCATGTCAGCGTGACCCTGATGACCACTTGGCAGGCTTTGCAAGGAATTGAAGCGCGTGCGCTGTGTGTAGGGGGGGTGGCGGGCGAGGCGGTAGAGAGAAGCGAGACCGTCGATTACATACAGATCACACCTACTGAAGCAGCCAAATAATGAAGCCTTAGGGTGGCGTTCGGCCAAATCGTTTTTTAAAAGCTTCATTTCTTCCCCTCCCCTCACTTTCTAGTGCAAGCTGGGCCTGGGCCGTCGCACTCCAGGTCCCAAAGTGAGCTAAAGTCACCCTGGTCCCAGGCCAAAGAAAGGCAGGAGTGGACTCCGGCCCAAAACAAAGTCAGTAGGGTTGCGCGGTGACTACGGAGTCGGCAACCCTCCCTCCTTACCAGAGTGAAGTCCCTCCAGTGGGATGGGGGAGGAGGAGCCACGGCAGACTCCGCCCCCACCCTCCCCCTCAGGACAGAGCTCCAGCAGATCCAGGCCCCAATCTTCTGCCCCGCCCCAGCTCCGCCCCCTGGCCGGGGGTGGCCTAGGGAGGAGCACAGAGGAGGTGTCAGTAGCTGGAACCACGCAGCTCACGGAAGCGCACCCCGCAGCTCAGTGCACTGGAGCAGCCCGCAGCTTAGTGTCCGCCTGGCCATCTGAGCCCCACCGTGCATCCTGTAGTGAGTACCGACTGAAAGGCCTGACATCCCGGGCGGGAGCTCCGGCCGCCCTGTCTCTGGAGGAGTCTGTGTGAGACTGTTTCAGGACGTCCGGGACCCGTTTCCCCGAGCTCTCGATTCAGGCTTGCAGAGTGGCTGGGGGCGGGGGAGAGTCTGGGAAGGCCAAGGGAAGAATCCAGGACCAGTTCTCCCTGGGGACTGACCTCTTTGCCTAGACAGTTGCCATGCCGTGCGGGGAGCGGGGTTCAGTACTGGTAGTGGCTCTCCTCTTCTACCTTCGTCTCGGTGTGCGTGCGGCTCCAAGAATCCTAGCGATGCAGGGGCCCCACTGGCGAGCCCTCACCGAGGCTGTGCAGGCCAGCCAAACAGGGGAGCCCTAACTCCGAGAAGGGTACATGCGGGCCTCACCTGGTAGGCCTCGCGGAGCTCCGGCTGGCCAGATAAGGAAATCCTCACTCACATGCTGGTAGATTGGGAAATCCACACCAAGTGGCAAGAGAAAAATGGGGCGAGGGGGAAAAGACCCCACGATGGAAGGTGGGAGGGAGGGCACAGAGCCCACTGTAATAGATTCAGAGACCCAGGAAGGAGCATGGGCTGCCTTTCCTAACTCAGCCCGCACATCAGAATAGCACATCTTGGCCTCCTGCACCACACAGAACCCTACGGGTAAGGGCTGTGAGGGCTGGGGAGGGGCACAGCCTCTAGGACAGCAATTCTCAAACTTTTGGGGGGACTCAGAACTCCTTTACTTTCTTCAAATTAGTATACTACGGCGCTGTTGTTTATGTGGGCCATTTACCATGTAGAGCAGAAATTTTTTCTAAACTTAATAATTCATTTAAAAATAACAGTGGGCCTATTACACGTTACCATATTTTTATGAAAGCTGCCATATTTTCCAAAATTGAATGTTACTGTAAAGAATGGCATTTTATATTTTTGCAAATCTCTTAGATGTCAGGTTTCATAGTAGGCAGATAGATTCTGAGATCTGATTCTGCATTCAGTCTGTTGCAATATTACATGTCACATAGACTTGGAAAACGTCACTGTGTACTTCTGAAAACGCAAGAGTGAAAAAAGCAAATAGCATCCTGGTATTATTTCAAAAGAATGCCCTGTACCATATCACACTGTGAGAACCACTGGTGTGGGAAATACTTTGGAGGCTTCGATCACTTTGGCCCTGCTTCTTGTTTGTTATCCTTCCTCTGAATGGAAACACATACCACCTCATGCCTTGGACAGTGTTAACCTCTGCCATTTGGAACCAACCTTACTTTGGAAACCAAGTGCTAAGGCCCCATATAAGCAATGGGGAGGCCTGCTAGCCTTCTGAAAACTCAGCAAGGCTCACAGGTGGCTTTGGTTGTTTCTGTGCCTCCACAGCTCACCTCTCTGTTCATCCAGATTGCAGCAGTGATGTGTCAGACAGGATCTGGAGATTCCAAGAAGAGCCCATGGGGAGTTCATGTCAAGTGTGTAGGGGTTTGTGTGTAAGTTACCAGGTGGTCAAGAAGTTATTTCTGAAAGAACAGGGATGCATGCATGCTTTTGCCTTCCTTTCCTCCATGTTAATTTCTGTGTATGGTTGTGTAGACTTGAATTTGTTGGACTGATTCCCCAGTCCTGGAGTTCTTGCACTTTCTACTTTAGAGGTGTGTCAGTGTGAATGGCACTTCCATGTCAGAAAGCAATAACCTACATCCTGGTGTGTGGTAGGTGGGATCTCTCACTGGATTATTTTCTTGACTTCATGTTGTGTCAGCACAAGTTCAGGTAGAAATTATGTACATCAAGGAAAAGATGTTCTCTAACTCTGTCCTCCCTTTTGCTCCTCCATCCAGAGAGTCTCTCGTGCTCCACACTGTAGCTTATACTTTGGACATGTTGCAAGCACAAGGGCATGTTGCATCTATAGTTACACTGTCCACAGATGGGAGAAGCTAATGATCCAACCTCTGAGCATCTGCTCTATGCTTGGTAGAAAGATATGTATTGATCTCCCACTTACCACCTGCTTACCAAGTGCCCAGTTCTGCACTGGACTCTGGGGAAAGTAGTGAGCAACGACAGATATGGCCCCTGTCTTTCTGGAGCTTCCAGTCTGCTGTAAGCAGACTCACTTAGCAGTTCACTTAGGGAACTGCTGGATCATTGAGAGACAGTGCACTGTCAGTGTTTACATGAAACATGGTCCCATGTGAAGAACAATTCCCCTTCTAGATGTGTGCTTCAGAGCATGTGCTGAGAAAGCCAAAGTCCCAAACTGTGATGATAATAAAGCCAACATTTATTACCATGTGCCTGGCAAAGAACTTCCTTTGCCTTCCTTTCTCAGTCTTTATTTTTTGGAGAAAGCCACTCCTTGTGAGGCAGGCAGACTCTACAGGGAAATGAACTCCAGTCTGGTCCCAGTCACTAGGCCTGTCTTGGGCAAAGTATTTTATCTAGGCCTCAGTCTCTTCATCTTTAAAGTGAGGGCTTGGGCCATTGGTGTCTGTCTCATTTTGGAACATTGCAGACATCTGAAGGAGCCAGTGGTTTGCAGGATCTGGTTTGCACTAGCATTTGTATGCGTTTCTTCCCAGTTTCGTGTTCAGTGGCATCACATTTTTCAGCTTTAAGTAAGCCATTATGGGTATGTTTACACTCTGGAAATCTGCAAATGCCGTAAATCAGGGCTCCCCACTCTCAGCACGTTGTTAAAGGTCTACCAGCAAACCATTGCTATTGTCAGAGCCAGGGTGATTTTTCTTTGTATTTTAATAGACAACAAACTCTTTAACCAGGACAAAAACATTGGATAGAGGGCATGTGATTCAAGTTCTCCAAATTTTGATAGGGAAAAAAACAGTCTATTTTCACTATCTTCTAGAACATAGGTCAGCAGATGTTTTTGTAAAGGATCGGATAGTATTTTACACTTTGTGGGTTCTACTGTCTCTGTTGCAACTATGCAGCTGTGCTGTTAGAGTATGAAAACAGCCATAGATGAGATGTAAATGAATGGGCATAGCTGGGTTCAATAAAACTTTGTTTACAAAAACAGGTGCAAAACCACAGTTTGCAGACCCCTGTCCCAGAATGTTAGGACAGAAGCCATGCTTCAAGGAGGTAGTTTCATGGAAAAGGAAATTCTTTAGGACTTTATGCATGAATATCAGGGACTTGATACTCCAAGACAGACATAGCTGGAGTGACAACTGCAAAGGATTTGAAATCAAAGAAGACAACACAGCAGGTTGTTTAAAGGAAGGTCAAGTATGTTCAAATTTTGAGGACACAGCCATGGATTGAGGAGGGGGATGTCTTTGTTCCCAACTGCCTCTCAGGAGCCATCTCAGTTGTGCTGGGATGGAGGGACCTGCAAGTCTAACCCAGTGTGAACTTGGGTTGTTCTTATGCAAAAATTGGTGGTATCTCTAAGATATCTTGATTCCAGGGGCAGGGACAAAAGAAATGTTAAAAAGGGGGAAATTCTCATTGTATGTGTATATATATGAAAAAAATATATAATATATCTTATATATACACTGTGTATACCCTAATGTGTATATGGGTATTCATGTATCTATTTATGTACCTAAGTTGTGTGGGTGTGTGATTATATATTCTGTGTATTTAAAATAGCTTTATAAATGTTTGGAAGACAGACATACCAAACATTAACCATAGCCAATTCTGAGCAGTGTGTTATGGGGTGGAAGGAAGACGGGATTTTTTACTTGTTACATGTTGTAACACCATATGTCTGCCTACCCCACAGCATTCCTGTATTGCTTTTACAACCTGAAGACAAAACTCAAAACTCAAGACTAAAATCCCAACAACTTTTAACAGGAAGATAGTTCTTTCTCTAGTAAGAATATTACCACCACCTCCTCTCCCACAATAAAACAAATTATGTCAGTTGTCACATTATAGTTCTGAACAGGTGTGATACTAGTATATATTAACTCAAAATAATCTTGAGAAAGAGCTCTCTCAGATCAGAGTGCTTGGTTAAAAAGTGTTGTTTGACTTAAGCCCCAGATCAAAGTATTCTTTAATGAATTATCATGCCGCCCTTACAATGATGGTGTAAAATCCTATTTCACAAAATAGCCAAAGTATACATTTTAAATTTAAAAACATATTACCCAAGAATATTTCCCTGTGATCCTGTTTACAAGGAGAGAAAGCATGTGCTCGGGTGCAGGGGGGTGGGGGGGGGGTAGGTCTGTGCACATGCGAGGACCGAGGCAGAGGCTCTGCCGGACTAAGGGCTTCCCTCTGGGTGTTGGGCCACAGTTGGTTTTTAAATT